CGTACTCGTCTTCGGCCGTCCCGGTACCGCTCGTCGAACTCGTAAAATCAGATGCGTTGTCGTCCCCTTCTGCTGCGTCGATGAGCATAGACATTTGCGTCCTTCGTTCGGTCTTCTTCCAATCCATCAACATTTGTGCTTGTAGATTTTCGGGCGTCAACCTCGACCGTCGTGTGTGTAGCATGTAACCTCCCTCACTGAAATCTTGTTCAACCGCAATTGTAGATGCTGGGACGACAAAAATCTCCTTGGCCATCAAACATTGAATAGTATAAACATTTTCCATTTTTGAACACCAATCTAAGACATCGAAGTTCAGCGGCACAACTGGTTCACGCGCAATCCTGAGTATCAAATTCGACGTAAGGTAGTGATCCAGGTCATTGTATCCAGTCCCCTTCGTCCTTTGGGGGTCAACATTCTTGTACGGATTTTTTGATGTCCACCACTCCTTGTAGTTTGTTGCGCCTACTCGATAACCGTAAGAAGAAGCCCTGTTGCCGCTGCCGCCACGAACAAATGAGTTGGGATGCTCTCCTTGCGCGATCGCTGTTTCCCTGAACATTTCATGCAACAAATCCTTTGCTTGCTCGACGAGCAGCTTAACTTTAGGTTTTTTACTGTATTCTTCCTCCTCAGTTGGCAGTGAGAGTTCAAACATATGATTATAATACAGGTCAAGATTATCCATCAATTCAATTTCACGTGCACTAGGATCTAACAAACATGCAACTAAAAATGTATCAGGAATATAAAAATAATATTTTAACCATTTCTTTAACATTTCACTTACTAAATCTGTATATTTAAAATAATCAAGTTTGTAAAGATCAGAGAAAGCCCACGTGATAGCTATACATTGACTCAATACAAACTGAGCAGTAGGATAATAAACACTGGAAAACATGGAAGTAGCATTTTGAAATGTTTCTAAACAACTAATAAGTACTTTACAATTCTCCCAATCTGTTGTGGAGACCCGACGTCACAGTCCCTATGGTTTGGATCGTTAAAAAACTTCTCCAATACCGCCATAAAAGGAACTGTATTATTCAACATTTTATATGTTGAATTCCATCGGTTCGCAAAGTCGGGTTGAAATTTTTTATGTTTCAACCCTTCATTCTTACAAAAACGTCCCCATGCTTTCATTTCTTGAGGACGTTTATGTAAATAATTAACAGCATATCTAATTGGTGTGACTGATTCTTTACAAGCATTATAACCAGCTTGTACACATAAATTCAAGACATGACATATACAACGAATATGAAAAAATCTTCCTCCACAAATAGGTGAGCAAGTTTTTGTAAGTTCACGTATAGATGTAGTATTGGCAGTAGCATTATCAAAAGAAATGGAAAACACACTTTTACCAATTTTATATTTATCCAAAATTTTAAAAATTAAACGAGCAATATTAGATGTAGTCTGACGTTTATGAAATGCAACATAAGCAATTAAACGTTTTTGCAAACTCCAAGTTTCATCAATCCAATGACAAGTAATTCCCAAATAGGAGTTAGTTTGTCAATGATATATCAACACAAATAGATATTCTATGATTTAAAGATTTAAAAGTTTCTTGCAAAATTATTTTTTTTTCACTAACAATTTTTCGAATATCACGAGTAAGAGTAGTATGTGGAACCCGGGTGGCAGCCGGATTCGAAGCCATTTGAGCAAAATTTTCATACAAATCACTATCACCAAAACTAAATGGAAGAGATGAGGCAGAAACAAATTCAGCTAAATGACGTCTATGATTATCATGCGAGTAATTAAAAAAAGGTGGCGTACCTATACCAGTGTCAGATGCAGAGCTGCTACTGGGGAATTGCGTTTGTGTCGTGTCGATTCCCAACGTATGTGGATTTGGGGGAACGAACAGTTTATGGTATGATTTTTTATTTTGTAAAGAGCCACTTAATATATAAGAAGAAGTGATAAATAGTCACATCACATACCACATCATATTATGGCATGGCTTATGGTGCCCATATGGGCACCATAGAATTTCTGAGGGAAATACTAGAAATCATGGGATAAGTTTTCTGACAAAATAGGTCTTACGAAAATTTAACGGTTGTATTTCGCGAAAATTTAACCGTAGGATATGAACATATATCTAATGAGTAGTCAAGCAAATTAATAAATATCTTATTCTTTTATAAATGTTTTTTAGTTGGCATTTAAAATCCAATTTTCATGATTGTAAACTCGTAATCTACTATATTTCATAAGTCCATTTTTTTTATTGCAACGATAGAAATTCAATAAAAGAAAAACACATAATTACAACAAAAGAACAACCCACAGCTCTTGAGCCGAATCTAACAGAAGCACAGATCCAAAGATCACCTAGATACTATAGATACGGCACCACTTACCCACAAAAAACCTACTAAGCTAAACATGAAGCTCCACAATTGGAGAATAAAAACCAACTCCCTTCAAACACAAACACCCAAGATAAAAATAAAATAAAAATAAAAATAAAAAACAAAAACAAAAAACAAAAAACAAAAACAAAAACAAAAAAAAAAAAA